TAAAAACATCTCATTTGATTTATAAACTGAAAACATTTAAGAACTATCCATTCATATTGAGTGAATATGCAGATGTATTGAATCGATTGGAATTGAATGTGGCTGATATTCTAAAAGAATTCAGTAGTTCATCAATTCTCCTTCCCCACTTATTGATCATGCTGAATGTTTTGCTGAAAAAGGAAATGGAAAACTTGGATTGGAATAAATTGTTAGAGGATTACAGCGAATATCCATTCATAACTCCTGTTGAAGTGACTCAAGGAGATTTTGAAGCAGCCATAGAAATGTTGTTTGAGAGAGATTGGTATAGAACATATTGGTTTAGTGCCAGAAATCAAAATATATGTAGGGCAGATATATGCTCTCAACTTAAAATGTCTTTAGTCAAAAGACTTTATTTTAATATACCTCTTACTGTTATTGTGTTACAAACTCCATTGATATTGGATGCTATTGACAACTGTCATAAATTAAACAAGTTCAGTTATCTGGAAATATCTCAAGTTGATGTTTGGTGGAAATGTGATCTTCCTTCCTGTGTGGAACCAGGAACTATTATATTAAGAGAATTGCTACATATGGAATACTTACTTGCCTTTCCTAGCAATTCTCCAAGTGGTCTATTAGAAATAATGTGGACCCCTGAATGTCCAATGAAAATTCATGACAAATTAGCAATTTTATGTCCTCGTAAACGAACTATCCAGGGAAGTGTGATATTAGATATGATGGACGTACCTATTTTACAGAATGCCTTGAAAAATGTAATAAGAGATGTACATGACATTGATGACCTTGTATCAAAAGTAATATCATGCGCTCAAACACATTGTAAAGCAAGATTGGATATTTATAAGAAGGAATGGGAAGAATCAAACACCCAACTGATCGTTTGCGAAACGAAATATCATTTGATGTATAAATTGGTTGAAGAGAAGAGACAAGAATTAATTGCAAAATATACCGAAATGGCCTATGAGAAAAATATGAATAATGGATATGACGAAGACTATGAGAGGAGAAATGAAAACACAATTGGAATTTTCTGTTTCTTGCACGCAGTTAATAATCTCTCTCTCCATAATTCGGACTTCTTCAATAATAAGGTGAAAAGTATTGATAATTTAGAAATTAAAACTATAAATGTATATCAACCATTTTGCTATCAAATGATATTTATTTCTAATAGTCAGGATAATGATTGGGATAATTTTCATTTGGCTTTCACACTCCATACACCGCAGGAACTAGGTATATCATTATCTTCCAACAAAATAGAACTAACAGAAGACATACTAAGAGAAATCGCTATTTTCACATTGGCTGGTATTTATATTGTTCTTCCATTCGCACCATTTAAGTGGGATATTGAAATAGCGGCCACAGATTATTATTCTACTGACGAGAATTTTGAAACCTGCATGGTTTATTGTCCTAATAATATCCAATTACTAAATAGTGATAGGGGATATAGAATAATAACCTATATCAAAAACTTATTTTATTCCGATAACCACACCGAAGAACTTGAAATCATTTTACTCAAATATATGGTAACATTGATAAATCATTATAATTTGAAATATGAAATACCTATTGGTCAAGATCGTTTATTACAATATCATAATTATCATCGTAATAGTTTAAACAGGAATGTATCCATAAGAGTATACTACAGTTGGCATCATAAAGAAATATATAGCCTTCTAAAATCAACAAATGTTTGTAAGTATCATTACTACTTTGACTGCCCTTCTATGGAGTGTTCAAAAGATGTTTTGCCATATAATAGACTAACTTTGGATAATGTTAATAAATGCTGGACTGTAAATGATTATTTAGCAATTGGAAATAGTATTGGTTCGATTCAAAGTATTGATGAAGTGTCATTTGAAGATGTTGAGAACTTCCGAAAGCTATGTGATGATTTTCAGCAATCAGAAAAACACTATTATCTCACACAACTAGAAGAAAATAACAAGAAACAAACTTATATGAAGATTAAACAAGAATATAATCAAATTGATTACTACTTCTTCCCTATGGCTACTGATATGAGGTTCGATTACTCCTTTGATACATCTTTAAATGATGTGATTATTGTGACATATGATGGAAGAAATGCATTTATTGGTCTTCCAGATAACAAAGTATATTATCTTCCAGTTAGTTACACAGGAATAGATGGTGACAGTATTTCTATCCCCTATTTATCAACTAGTAGTGAAGTGAAACTGGTTTTAACAGGATATAATTGCAATATATCCCAAAGTTCAAATAGGATTCTTTTTCAAATGAAAGAAAATGATGCTGGTGCCAAAAGAATAACTATTAATGCAACAGTTTACAGGTTATCAGATAATGAAAAATTAGTCATGGAAGAGTTTTATTTATGCTATGAAAGAAAAGAATTGCCGAATTTGATTATTACATCAGAAGATTGCTTCTACTCAAAAAGATTAAATGACTATGTTAGTAGTGAATATGTTATAAATCCCACATTGCTACCCTTAGCAGTACAAGTAATAGCCCAAGGGGTACCAAACAACTATTACTGTACAGAAAGAACTACGACACAAGTAGTATCAAATCCTATAATCAAGATAGCATCTTATTCGTCAAAAGCAGAACCATCTAATAGTACAAAATATAGCAAATCTTTTATTTGGGATAAAAATGAATTATCAGTGTTTACTAGAGAGGTAACACCAAAAAATCGAATTATCGTTCATGCTATGTCATCTAGTAATCCTGAAACTATAATAACATATCTAAAAAGTAAATCATTTAGTCTTTACTTATCTGCTCTTTCAGATATTTCGTTGGTTATCTTATCTGCAAATGATAATGAAAGAGAAGAAATAATGTCTATTTTGAATGGATGCGTAAATGATATTATTCTTCCATCAATAAGAAAAGCGGTCGAGTCCATTTTCAATACAATATTCTATGAACAATCAGTATTGGAGTGGATCTCAGATCCTAAAATGCTTAAATTAGCAAAACAGAATTACAATCATAAAGAAACCAAATGTGTTGATGAATATCATGAAGAAATAAGTGTTAATACTGTAGTTGATAATGCAGAGCCGTTGTTAGAAAGTGGTATGAACCCTACAACAATAATATATGGATCAATAACCGAGGCTTCTAAAAGCAAGATAAATCAGCGGACTCAAGTGATTCTTGCCAATGAAAATAAACTCAATAAGACAACTGCAGCGAAGCCAAGCAACAGAAAAAACAATCATTCAGACCAGATTGGAAATAATGAAGAGTATAAGTCTGTCAATTACAAGGCTTTTATTGATGTGATAAATAATATGAGCATGAATGATATGTTTCAGATGGTATATAAACGTCGAACAGTTAAAAAATATGTAGAACCAAACAGTAAGAAAGACTCCATATCTAAATTATTACTGGACAAAACGGATTGCAGTATTGACGATACCGTTGTCGATATTGTTGTCAGTAAGTCTGTTAGTATTATTGAGTTAATGAAAGCAGCGAACTACAGGAGTTATAGGCTGTTCTCAGCAATAAATATCATTATTGATACAAATTGCAGCTTGAGAAAAGGAAAATTAAGAATGAGGTCAATCATAACATCCATACTGATTACCATCATGAAGGAACTTGGCATTTCATTCAATCTGTATGTGTTCTGTGGGAGATATAAAGGTGTGCATGTTTCTATGAAAGATCGATCGATTCGTGAAATTATCTCCTTCTTATTTGACATGGAAGAAGTTGTAAAAATGCCCTCGACTCCTCTGGATCTATTGACAGTGAAAGATCAATTTGACGAGAACGATCCTATCGTGATTGTGAGTGATGGATTTAGTGAACAACTGATGTCTCAAGAAAATGAAGTGAAGAACGTATTTAAAACGTATACACATTTATTTTTATTGTGCATAAAGGGAAAGAATAAGGAAGCATTAAATGCAACTAATCAATCTCTTCTTGAAAATTCATTACGAGCAAATATTCCAGATAATTTGTTTTTCGTTGATAATATCGATGATCTTTTCAATGCATCAAATCAGAGGTGGATAAGGATCTTTTTTAGTTTACATAAACTTGAAACTAACAGAGTAATGAACGTTTCTTCTGAGTTACACTATGCTCAAAATCTTCAGGACGATTTGAATAAGAAATTTGCAGAGAACAAGTCTATGGTGGCTATTATATCTCTTCCCAATGTAGTCTCAGCTAGAAAAGTTAATGTGAACGAGGAAAATCTTTATGCATATCCAAAATCAAGATGTAATAGTACTGTGTTAAGAACGTTGAATGGAGTGATTCAAGGTGAAAACCTATTTGAGGCAATGAACATGTCTCTGTTCGTTCCCAATAAGTCGACAGCCTTTGTTGCATCCACTTCAGGAACTTCGATTCATATGGCAAACTACATCAAATATGTGGTTAGCAAAACGGGAGATGGCAAGTTTTTCAAGAAGCTTGGAAGTGAAAAGATTCGAAGTTACAATGCAAGTATTGTGATTGATTGCTCTTCAATCGCATTCAGTGAAACAAACCGAGTTCATTCATTGATCACGATCTTCACAATGCTTCGAAATCTAAGTAATATGCAACTGCCATGCATTGATTTGTGGGTGGCTTCGTCTCAAATCATTCGTGTAGCAACAGGCATATCATCGATGGATTTGTGGGAAAGCAATATTGTGGCTGCGTTGTATCATGCATTTCTGTCTCCTTGTCAAAATACTTGCTTGCCTGATTGTATTCGTTATGCTTGTAGTACTTGTAACGCTCGATCATTCGATTCTATAATGATGGTGTTAACAAATGGTATGTTGTGTAATGATTCAAGAGCAGAAATCAAATCGATTGTGAGTGGAATCGAAATGACCTATCTTGGAATAGGAATTGGCTTGTATTTGTGTGGATTTGAAGATTTGTTCCCCACGATGATTTGGAATTCAAATCCTGCTCGACTGTCCGAGACCTTGATGAACCTGACAACTCCATCAGTCAATACCAATACGAATGCAGTTCCAGAGAAGAAAATAGATGGAATGATTTGGAATGGAACATTTGACAAGACTTATGGAGAATTGACAAAGACAATCTGCAATATTCCCAGTATTTATGAAACAACATTGAGTAGTGTTCGATTCAATGATGAGACGGATGGAAAAGATGCAATGAAAAAGATTAATGATATTAACGACAGCAGATATGACTTGGGAGTGGATGGAGCGTTTGGTCACTATTCGATTTTGTTCATTATTCTTTATTTGTGTCGAGGAGAGAAAGATGAGAAAGGAAACGTGATTGATGAGTTTATCACAGAGGAAGTCTTGAGAAATGGAAAAGTTGTGGAGAGTGAAAGGTTCTCTCCCATATTGAAACTCGGAGACAGGAATATTAATGGAAAGCCCATAGGGAAAGGGTTTAACATCCGTTATGCATTTGATTACATATCTGCAATTAATGAGTTGATGAGCGGCAAATATCGAATGACGTTCATAACCTGTTCTCCTGGAGATGGAATCATGGCAAAAGAATGTGATAATAGTGTAGATCATTATGCAGATGCCTTTGTGAGCTGTGTCCACGAATTCAATAGGAGAGGAGGCGGTGTATTCTGGTTTTTGGAGAACTATCCATTTACATATGAAGCTGATTTGTACTTTAAGAAATTCTATGGATTTGAAGCAGTGGGAGACAAAGAAAAAACCATAAAAGGAGGTAAAGTGATGAAACGAGTAAAAAACGAAGCACCCGAAGCAGGCCATTTCATCACAATTGGAGGAGATGCATTGAACTATTCTAACTTGTCTCGTCTGGATTTTGGGATAGTAAGTATTTTTGAGGGAAGAACACTTTGTACACTGAGTGAATATCAATTCGAAGGAATTGGATTCCGTGTATTTGCCAGAGAAAGTGAAGGACATGCTTCGATTATGGTGAGGGAGAAGAATCAAGGAAGTGATGAAGGCAGGATGATAATTGATACAGCTGCATCGAAACTGTTTTTGGAGTTCACAGAAGATGGAACCGCGCGATGGATCAGCAATGCTGCAGTTTGGTTGTGTAACACAGAAGAGTTTGAAGAAGAACGATTCTTGGATCCTAGCCTCACTTCCGGAATCAAGATGGATGGAGTTATATTACCTGATAAGAAGCTGATGCAAAAACGAAAGGTAGCAAGCAAAAAACAGGTGAATTTCTGCTTGAGTATTGTGATGGATACAACAGGATCAATGGACCCGTATATCAATGCAACTAGAGATAACATTGTACAAATATTGAATCAGTTAAAGAAGATCGAGAAAGATTATCATCTTCCTGAAGGAGGAATTGTGGGTCAAGTAGTACAGTATAAAGATTTCGAAGACCATTTACATGGAGAGCAAGCAGAACGCATTACTAGTGATTTTGAATGGTTGAAACACAAACTTGATTCATTTAGAGCAAGTGGTGGAGGAGACACATGTGAGGATATCCAAGGAGGATTGATTCGAGCGTTAGAACAAATGAAACAACCACCTTATGATAATTACAATCATTTGATTCTTATCGTTGGAGATGCCCACAATCATGAAGATGGTAACAAGAAAAATGGTTGTTCTTACGACTATAATGAAACATATCATATGAGCTTTGAAAAAGTATGGACTCTGATTTATGATAGGATTCGTCGATTCAAAGGAATCCGAGTAATGTTTATGCCTGTTTCTAATGATTTACTAATTAGAACGGCTTTTTTCATGCAATCAGCTTTGGGTTCAGAAATTGTTGATAGTACAGCAGTTGCAACAGAGACAGATTTTATACGAGTGATTACAAATACTACAATCCAAGAGTATAAACGATTCGTTGGTATTTCTTAACAATGATATTGGTATTCTTGTTTGTTGTTTACATTAATTCTATGCATATTATTGTACAAACATGCGAAATCTTTTTTATAGTTTCCTAACGATTGATATTCACAGAATTGCTAAAAAAAGGTTAGAATGATGATGATGATACTTCCATGGGTGAATTTATATGTAGTGAATATATAAATTGATTAAGAAGTGAATTTGGAGAGAAATATCGATCTAAAGTTGTATATCAATCAATTCTGATAAATGAGTTCTTACACTACATACCACATACTCCATATAGAATTTATTAATTTGACAAGCATAGATTGTCGATTATTCGCTACCAATTTGTGTTTTTACCCTAATCAATTTTACTCTTATTGATTCACTATTAATCATTTCATTTAACGTAAATGATTGTACTGCTATTAAAGAATTTCAAATCCAATCATCAAAATAAGTCGAATATGTGGAATTGCAAAAATACATTTCTTTTTCTCTTTATTATTGTGTTCCGTTCATCAAAGATATCATATTTGTAAATAAAATGAATGATCAGAGAATTTCAACCTGCCCCAATAAATGTTATGGAAGTAGATACTATTTAATGACTAGTTTAGGTGTAGAAAGAAATAAAGAAGATTTAAGCATATGGAATAATTGTATTTGTAGTGAATTTCCAATTGTGAATAAAACCATAATTGAAAGGCAAGCCTTGTGTGAAATTGGTTCTCCTCACCTTGGATACACTTTGAAAGCGTCAGTAAAAGATGGGCTTCTTAATGGGAATGCGACCATTGAGGATCCAAATGGAACTATAGTAGCACGCTTGAATTATGAAAAAGGAATGGAAAATGATGTATGTACATTATACTACAAATGAGGAAAAGTAGATTTTCCGAAATAAGAATTGAGTAGTTATTTCAAGCTTCAATTCTCTATAAAGTGGTTACTATTGTGATCAATACATAAAGGGGATTGTCCCTCTTTTGACAAGAGTCTATTATTCCTCGATCAGAATGTCAATTGATAAACCATAATGATAACCTGAAGTTTTTGCATAACATGTTTCACCTCCTATCGCAATGTATCTATTATAGCTTATTCTATGCGATCATACATTTAGAACCGCAAAATATCAAAGAACACTGCTTGCTTTTTTGTATATGATCTTATGGGGAAATGATCACATTCATATATTCAGTTTTCTCTAACACCACTTTATAAAAAGCAATAAAATGTGGGAATGCTATTTGAATGGCAATAATAATGTGAGGAATATTGTTTTCACTAAAGAATAGCAGTAATAACGTCTCATTTGTTGTACGAACTACTTTTGTTTCATTCCTTTATGAGTAGATTTGAGAAAATGAATAGTATTAATTAAGGATGTTGTTGTTGCGTTGTGTACCAATAATAAATCAATGTGTAATATTATTAATCAACTAAATATGATGTTTTGAAGGCTAGGATATTTGATATTCCCTTTATTATGTCATATCATAATACTCATTACTGAATAAACATCATTCATTTTATGTTTATCACAAGAATGATAAATCTATTAGATATTCAATATATAAGAACTATCGATAAAGCAATTTAGGCTCATTCATCATTTTCCAGTTACGAACAAAGCAATCGAATAATGAATTTGAATAATGCTTGTTAGAGTAATTCGATATACATATATATGCGTGTAATCGATATTACTGAATGGCAAAAACATATAATGAACATTGAAATACTGCTGTATTGAATTAGTTTGTTCTGAGTTACTCTCCTTCTTCAATAGTAATTCTTTGATGATTCCACATCCCACATTCGATTTGGCATTGTTAATATTATACTATCTACTTTATTCCCTACCTCGAATTCTATTCTCTGCCTTCAATTTGCCTGCCAACTTCCCATATTCCCTCCCCTTTTGACACATTTATCACACACAAACATTTCAAACACTTTTCATTTTTCACTTGATACTCTGCTTCCTTTTGAAGATCGTACTCCCAGACTTGAATAATCATCCACATGACGACTCACAATCCCCATACTTGGAGTTCTTCGATGCGTACTCACAGTTTCTCCCCGCTGTTCTCGAGCTACAATGCTGGGAGTTCTAACATCCATCTTGGGAAACACATCTACATCGTTTTCCCCTCGAGTTAAGGACACCGACGAGAAGTTTCTCAAATGATGCCCAGTACTCATTTGAGAATTCGGAGGAATACTAGAGACATCGCTATAGTCATCGGATGATTCATTGCCTTCTCCTCCTGATTCTTCTTCTTCTTCTTCTTCTTCTTCTTCGATTATCGCATCATCCGAATTTAACTGAGCAACCGAAGGCTGGCGAATTCGCGAAAGAATCGGTCGGTTCTTTCGAGAAATCCCGATTTCTGCTGCAGCAAAATTCTGATGGCTATTCAGCAAGAAATCCAGCTTCGATTCTTCTCGATTCTTCTCTGCTTCGTAATTGTCGTAGTCTTCACTCAGCGTAGAAAGCAAGAAATAGCTGTTCTCTGGAAGAGGATTGAACGAATAGCCATGGATCAGATTGGCAGTCGAAAACTCTCCATCGGTTGTGGTCGATAGCATCAGATTGCTGATGTCTTCTTTCTGCACGAAGAACTCGCCGTCCACGTCGCATCCAGAAACATTTAACTACCAATCGAGCTGATTTCTTTCCATTCGGCGGCTTTGGGGTAAACGCCGTCCACAACAGCGAAAAAATCATCTCGAGGAAGCTCTATTATCAGTATTATAATGCACATATTCACTCTTCATCATCCCAAATAGCAAAGACTTGTCCACCTCATTACCAAATAGTACAATTCGAGATGATTCACTGTCGTAACACACATTGCGCAGATACAACACACTAAATCCCTTCCCACTATCCATTTCGTTTATATTGCTAAACTCCTCACTAAATATCATCAGTAATTCCTATTATTACGATGTTAACGAACTAGGTAAACCGCGAGGACTCCATCTATTATTATTATTATTGTTATAAATTGCATTACTCCATATATTTACCAAACAAAAATAATCGACGATTCTCTACTTCCCACTTTCTTATCATAAACACATTTTACACCAATATTTACAACCGATCCTCACGAAAATCATAAGTGCACAAAGAATAATCACTTTCTATATCAATTGGACCATCTTCACTTAGACCAACTTAATAACCTCTACCCATCACAATAGTCTTCTTTATTAGTGGCGTAGATAATATTCTAGAATCAAATTACTTCTTTCAAGACATACGAACGCAGGTAACCTTCCGCAGACAATAATATCGAAATCATTGCGGCTATCACTGTGCCTGTCACAAACAAAGTGTACCCTCTCACAAACACACTCATACACACAATCTTTGATTCTTTATTCATTCATTTCGATTCAATGGATGTATGACAAAGTGAATTTATAAATAGTACTATTCAATATTCTTCTAACTCCAAACTAACTCCATTTCCAATCCGATTTCGAATAATCTGTTCTATATCACTTCAAGTACTCATATTCAACATTTGGAGCATAAACACTTCCCGCCCATTTTAGATTCTCTTCATTTCCATACCACTAACACCATCTCTATCATCCACCATCATTCTATATTCAAATATACTCTTCTGCTTTCAAATCCCTTCATTTTCATTTGATTGGTAATACTGTGCATCAAATCCGCATTACTTACAAGCTTTTTTCTACACAAATACTTTTCATTCTTATATATTGTACAAAAAATCGAATAGAAGATGCAAGAACAAATGCAGGATATGTCTATTGAGGACCGAGTACGAGTTGTGGTTTTGCCACCAAAATCTAGACAAACGGGCCGTTACCTCTAGATAAACTAGAAGGAGCAGGAATCAATGCTAGTGATATAAAGAAGCTTCAGGAAGGAGGATATTACACAGTTGAATCAGTGAGGGATTGGAAATGGTTTGAATCTAGGTAGCAATGACCACGATGAAGAAATTAATAGAAGTGAAGGGAATTAGTGAAGCAAAAGCTATCAAGATTCAACAAGCTGCTACCAAGTTGGTTCCTATGGGTTTTACATCTGTATGTATATATTAATTCGAATATACTAATCGATTTAGGCGACAGAATATAGTAAAGTGCGAGAAGACATAATTCACATTTCTACAGGTTGTAAAGAATTGGATGCAATTCTTGGCGGAGGAATGGAAACAGGTTCGTTGACCGAACTGTATGGAGAGTTTCGAACAGGCAAAACGCAGCTCTGTCACACACTTTGTGTAATCTGTCAACTTCCTGTGGAACAAGGCGGAGGCGAAGGAAAGGCGCTCTATATCGATACAGAAGGCACATTCCGACCGGAACGACTTGCCCAAATCAGTCAACGTTTTGGTCTAGATCCAAACGATGTGATGGATAATGTGGCTTATGCCCGAGCATACAACAGTGAGCATCAAATGCAATTATTGATGCAAGCGGGAGCACTGATGTCGGAGAGTCGATTTGCTTTGGTGATAGTGGATTCAGCAACAGCCTTGTTTCGTACGGATTATACAGGCAGAGGCGAATTATCAACACGTCAACAAAACTTGGCTCAATTTCTTCGTGGTTTACAAAAACTGGCAGATGAATTTGGAGTAGCGGTGGTAGTAACAAATCAAGTGGTGGCGAATCCGGATACTGGAGTGTTCGCGAAGGATCCATTGAAGCCGATCGGAGGAAACATAATGGCTCATGCGAGTACAACGAGGTAAAGAAAGGAGTGAGTTTGAAATGATGTGTAGATTGCGATTGAAGAAAGGGCGTGGAACAACCCGAATTTGTAAAGTGGTGGATTCTCCCTGTTTACCTGAAGGAGAAGCTTCATTTGGAATCAGTGAACAAGGAGTGGTGGAGGCCACGGAATAAGATGATAAATGTACAGTATAACTTAGGTGTTTGATGATGTTGCGAATGGTCAGTAGCTTTATTCATATTTGTTTTTTCGAAATAAGCTTAGCGAGACAGTTTTCATCTCCATTATTGTGAGGAGATCTTGAGATGTGTCTTTCAAAATGATTATTACTTGATAAGACTTGTCGCTCTCTCTATTCAGTTCTCTCTCAACAAACACTCAAAAACATTTGGCGGGCGATTTTAAAGTACCAGGGCATTTTGAATGCAAACAATAAAGTGATTAGCACAACCGCTCCTGCACAGAAAGCCAGATCGATCATAATCTCATCCGAAACTTCCTCCTCCTCCTTCGATGTATCAATATTTAGCAGCTTCAGCAAATGTGATTCCGTCACAAAAACTACAGTTCATTCCTTCACGTTTCTTCGACCTAGCACGCCGAATATCAAACCCTCGCAGATCGTAGCGCCTCGCCTCGAAAACAAACTGATTCCCCCTTTCGGATTCGCAATTAAGAAGGGAGGACCTCGAAGGAAATCGTACATAATGCCCGAAACAATCATGATCAAGCTTATGCTGAGTGAGGCATTGTAGAACAAACACAAAATGGCAGATAGAGAGCGCGCGGTCTTTTCCTCCCAGAAAATCCAAGAGGAAATCGTTGTTGAATAAGTAGTTATAGCCGAATGCAATGACGATTACGGAGAAAAGGAGGATAAAATACAAGCCTAAATAACTGCTCTGTTGAAGTGTGATCTATGGAAAGGGAGTGAAGAGAAACTACATGAACGCCTGTACATTGCTTTATAAACTGAAGAATTCGCTCTTCTGAAAGAATACCCCCGTTTCCTTCTAACACCATGGAATCACTTTCGAAGGGGAGAATCTGCATAGAGAGCAAGTTTAAATTCATACTCTAGATATGCTGTGATACTCGGAGAGATAGACAAGCGAAGGAAAGGAATTCAGTTCAAACACATCCGCCAATTTGGGATTTGAATCCATTTCGATGACTGCAAAGATTAGTTTTGGTGAATCGATGTTTTCTGATTCCCAAGCTCTGTGTGCGTGCAAAAAAGCGTCATTCGACTTTCTATTATGTTATTCATTACTAGAACATTGTACGAGCATGTAGGACATAGAGAATCATTCGACACGTATGAGAAAAGTAACAAGGTGTCAAAGTCCCGAGTTCGATTTGAAATATATTCTTCAAACAGCTTGTCATCTAAGAGCGCTACTGAACTGCGTGTCAAAGTATGCATCTCCTGATAGTCACCCTACAGTTCTCAAACGCAGGTAAGCGATAGAGTACCTTCGCAACTGCTAATAAATATAGGAATACAAAACTAAGAAGAAAAGACATTTGTTTATTTGATTAACAATTACATCAAGATTTGTTTTCCCCGATGTGATCAGATATTTACAAGCAGTTCAGTACTTTTGTTTCGTGATCATCAGGCATCGAACACCCCTGCTCTTTCTATCCTATTCCACTACCCATGTACTAGTATATTCCTAATGAATATCAGCATCGTATTTCATCGTATTTTGTTTTGTTCAAGAAATGTATGATAACTATAAATGCCTGTACAACTGGGACTTCATAAAGAAATAACCGCGGGCATCGCCTTAGTCTCTCATCGACTTTAATCCAATTCGGATTAATCAGCCTACTTGATTTTTACATTTTCAAATGGTGAGATATAGGTAAGTATCATGAATGTGCCTTGGGATCATTTTGGTGTGGTGTTTGACAATTCTTGTCCATTGTTCATTTTGTTGTGTGCTCGTTGTGTTTTTCTGGCTGAAATGTGATTATCACTAACCTGTTCTATAGTATGACTCCTGCTGATACCAAGAAGAGTATTCCCCTGTAATTCTTGTTTCTTATGTGTAGGCTGCAAGGCCCGCGGTTCTTACTTGACTGTGCACTTCAAGAACGCTCACGAGGTGGGTGCTGCCATCAAGGACATGTCTCTGCTCAAGGCCGAGAAATACCTTAACGATGTGATTGCCCACAAGCAGGCTGTCGCCTTCACCCGCTTCAACGGCGGTGTTGGTCGTCACGCCCAGGCTCACTCCATCAAGGCTCCTGGAGATCAGTGCAGATGGCCCAAGGCTGCCTGCAAGTTCTTCCTGGTGCTTCTGAACAACCTGAAGGCCAACGGTGAGGCGAAGGGTCTGAACGTGGAGAACCTTCGTATCAGCCATGTGCAGGTGAACCAGGCTCCCGTGATGCGTCGTCGCACCTACCGCGCTCACGGACGTGTGTGCCGTAGGCAGTTGGTTTTGTTGGTAATGTGCAGCCTATCTCCGCCACCCTGCTCACATTGAGATGATGTGCACCGAGGAGGATTCTGCGGTGAAGAAGGCTTCTTCGGTAAGTGTGGAGGCGTAGTGTCATGGTGTAGAAGCCCACGCACAAGCGTCTCACTCGCAGACAGCTGGCGTACAGAAAGCTCGTTCACCAGAAACTGGCTGAGAAGAAGAAGGAGGAGCAGGCCTAAGTTTGTATTGTTACAGCAGTGAGATGGTTGGTTGATTGGTGATGGATTGTTTGTTGGAAATAGAATGCGTGGGAGGGGAATTTTGTGCATGGTAGTGTGACCGAGCAACGGCGGGCTGTTCGGGTTTATGGATCTTGTCCCGCTAAAGACGGGTTCATAAGATTAAATCGTTATTGGAGAGGAGAAAAAACAATGGTAATATGACACAAATCCGTTTTATCACCCCTTTCTTTTACTTTTATTGTGCTGAGAAGAACTTCTTTTTCTGGATCAGCATGAATATATCTCCTTTTATTATAGCACTCTGGGTATTTTGTTGTGTTGTGTTGTTGACACCTCCAATTTTGGATGACAGTGGTGATTTTAGTGCGCGTTCCTATACTTGCGGAGTGATGCGAGCAGAGAACGAACCAAAGAAGTAGGGTTTCTTGGAATTCTTTGAATGTAGGAGAACAGCCAAATCTAAAATTTCCAATTCCCTTCTTAACGCCGCAGGTTCCAGTTTTTACTTTTAATTTGCATCGACCGTAGATTCCCTGTTACAAACCGCAGCTACTTTTTTCAAGAGTAAACAAGATAGTGTCAAAACAGATAAACCTAGGTTTGCGACTGCTGAATCACCTTCAAAAGGGAAATCCAAGCAGAAAGGCAATTCGACCGAGACAAATCATTTTTCCCACCTTCCCTTTTATCCGAGTCCCTACGTTCCAAACCCGAACATCTCCATATCAAGCAGTCAGTATACATTAAAGGATTTCGGAACCCAACCCACCAACCGTAATTTCCAATAACTCTTTATTAATCTAGAATACGATTACGATGACATCATTTATCCCATCCCCTTCAACTCTCTCTACAACCACATCGACCTTCGATATGAGAACTTCGGGCAGCCAGACGCTCGATTTCCTTCCTTCGTCCGCCTTGGCGGCGTGACTGAAGACGCTTTCAGAAACTCCGACCATATTTACGTGACAGGAAGCTCGGCGAATCATCTCTACTCGAACATCAACACGATGTATTCGATCATTACGAGCGATATGAACTCGTCGATCGTGTTTGTGGATTACGGACTGGACAACGTCACGCTGAGCGAGTTAATCAGCGAAATGAAGGTGATGAAGACCATTCTGGACGCGCACCATTCCACAGCGCTGCTGTACTATCGCAAGTTCGACTTTGCGCACTTCCCTGCGTGGTTTGATTTGTCGGATCGACAGGTTCGAGGCGGATACTCGTGGAAAGTGATCTCTTATTTCGATGTGTTGATGGAAACGAAGCGGATCGTGTCGTGGTCCGATGGAGGGAATATTGTCTCCACGAATCTGAAGAATGAAATGTATCGTGTTCATATGTTCGGGTTGTACACGCCGTATTCGGGAGACAGTTTGCAGCAGTGGTTGCACGGGAAATCGCAGCGCTTTTTGGGAGCCAATAAGATGATTCGGAAGATTATGCTGGGGAAAGGGATGTGCACAGGCGGCTATTTGTGGATTAACTACAATAACGAGACGGTGATGAACAATGTGATCTTCCCGCTGGTTCAGTGCGCCTACACGCGCAGATGCATCTCTCCGATTGGAAGCACGCGGAAGAATCATCGGCAGGACCAGGCGATTTTGACGGCGTTGGTGCATAGTGCGAAGATTCCGCAGTGCTGCCAGGGATGGTATAAGACGTACACGATGTTCCATCAGGATTGCTTGCCCGATGCGTGTAGGAGTCGGAGAGAGAGGATGAAGGAGCGGCTGATGAAGAAGTGAGTGGTGAACGAGTGCGTGATTGTGTTGGGGTGTTTGTTAGAGAATCGAAAAGGGGAGAGAATGATTTGGGAGTGAAGGAAATGTCGGAGAATAAATATAAAAATAGAGAATAGAGAAAACACGCAAACGTAAGTTGTGTATCATTCACAATACTAATTCTCATCAAAATATGGGAATCTTAAAATATTCAGTTCCATCCGTTTTTCAATCCACTTTGTTTGAAAGCAAACACACACACTCATTCCATTTCTTCTCTAACAAACACTCCAACTCATATCTATTTCCCCTTTTCTTTCCGAATCGTCGGTAAAATCTCGCTCACTTTCCTCGTAAACAATCGCAACTCGCGCAGACTTCGAATATCGTACTCCACTTCATACGTATTCAGCGGCTCGCACGGATTCACTTCCGCTAAATGTTCTCCCACGCACTCCACGAAAAACGCCGCTTCCTCCTCCACTTCTACCCATCAATCGCTCCTCCAACCCCGACCAAACGTAAAACAAAACCGATGTTTTGTCCTCCGAATCACCTTCTCCGAGCTCAGCAATCGCAAATACGGCACATCCGAGTTATCCTCATGGAACAACTCCACCGTAAACAGCTTCCCCGCCACCTTCTCCTCATTCCTCCTCGCCATTCAAACCATCCGCGTCGACGTTGCGAGCCGCGTGAGCGGCACAACCCCCGTCGGCAGCTGCAGCACGACTTCGTTTCGCTCCTTCTCGGAGAGTCCGTCGATGCTGTGGAAGTAATAAAGACAGTTGCGCGAGATGGCGATGTAGCGACGCTTCCAGCCGTTCAGTTTGCCGCAGCGCATGCGGCAGAGCGAAACGAAGGAGGGGATGTCGATCGCGTAGGGGAACTGGGAGAAGCAGTCCACCGATGGCATGATTTGCTTCATCAACGCCAGGAATTGGGAGGCGAATGTGGGAGAAAACCGCGGGAAATCGATCTGCTCGTCGATTCGGCGGTAGACGGAGGGCGTAAAGTAGGCGATGCTGATGGGTTTGGTTAAGTGAATGGCTAACAAATCGTCTCTGGCTTCGACGAACTCCACACTGGTCAACGAAGACTATTCATTTCAATCCAAACGAATCCAAACCTCAAAGATGAGAACCATATTGATCACGTCCGCGCTGCTAAACACCAAAACTCGCTTGTCTGTTAGCATTAACAGGATCGACGTCCCTCCCTTCGTCGTGGCGTTGCTCAGCAGCAAACACGCCTCATCCCCGCGGGTCGACCCGCTAACAAACAATAACAGCCGGCCAATCGCGTCCACCTCGTTGTAATCCGTGATCTGCCCGTTTTCGCCGATCGTTCGAGGCGGACGAGCGCGCGAGAACATCATCACCTGCTTCGAATTCGATCGAACATCGCTACTTTCGGATCGATGAATTCGCGAAGCTTGAAAACCTTCTGCGTGCTGTTCTTCACGCCGTTTGTCGACTGGCTCAGCAAGTCCAGCACTCCCACAACCGGCTTTAACGCCAACCCGACGATTCCTTTCACCGGGCCCTACGATTGGGGAAACGTGGAAACCGTACGGTGACGTAGCCTCGCGCTCCCTTGGTGCGAACGTCGTTTATCGGCGTGGTCACGACGCCTTTGATCCCCGACCAGATCGAGGAACCCATCGCTTTGGTTCCCGATTTGACGCCTGTGGAATGAGTCAACCGTGGAAAAGTGGAAACTTCGAACGAAGAGCTTTGAGTTTCCACGATTCATGCGAATGGAGCGTTGCAAAGCGAACTGATCGTCGGCGATGAGCGTGGTGAGTCCGGAAGCCAGTCCATTGGTGAACTATCCGTCAGAAGGAGGGAATAACCGCGACTTTGGAGCTCACGTGGGCGACGCCGTCGATGGTTTTGCCGATGGCTTTGCCGACTTTGGAGGAAACGGAGCGTTTTGGCGGAGCGATGGTGGGTAGAGAGAACGAAGGTCGATCGGCGAATGGATTGTAGATATCGTTTGTGAAATAGACGGGAAGGGAGGAAGAGAGTTGGGAGGAAAGAGAGAAGGAGAGGATGGAGTTGATGGAGTCCTCGAGATAGTTGAGATTGGGGATGTTGCTTTCTTTCTCGCTGCGGAAGTACTGGAGGTTTCCGAGCATGTCGACGGAGGAGAGAATGGTTCGACTGTGCGTCAGACAAAGAGGAGAAGGGAGAAAACATTTGTTTGAGGAGCTCGAGCACGAGATAGCTGCGGATCGTGAGATAAACCTCGTAATAACCGCCCTTCACGTTCTCGATTGTCATCTGTTTGAGCTGAATCACCGTGTTGTCGCAACTCACCCAATGATCTGCGATCTGATTCCCATCGTTCGACTCGCTCTCCTCGAACCCCAGCGACGATTTCAGCGTGAAAATCACGTTCACCGGCTGCAGCGAGAAGAACCCGATGAAAAACGACGGCTTCGAAAACGCGTCGAGCAGCGTCTGAATCATTTTGACATCGTAAATGTTCCGATTCTGCAGCTCCACCAGCTGCGCATTCCCCGATTTTCTACTCATCGCCGCTTCCTCCATGGCGCCCATTTTCTATCTCTCACAATTCGCTTCGATTCCCACGAAAAACCGCCCGAACTTCGTGTTGAGTCGCCGTACGAACTGCTCGTCCACCTTCAGAACGATCTTCTCGAAGGACACGAGGCCGCGATCCATGTAGAAACAGTTCTGCTGGTTCGCGTGCCGCTTGCAGCAGAGGTGCAGAAACGGCCGTTTGTCGCCGAGGAACACAAACCCGCACGCCGTGCAGACGTTGCTGCTCTCCTTCTCTAACTGCTCCGCCGTCTGCACGAGTTCCGCGGTTTCCTTCTCCTGCTTGGAGAGATTGTGGAGGATTTGGCTGCGCGACTGCATCGAAGACGCGCCCAATCCCGCGAAATCCACGTTCGACTGGGCCGATTTCGCGGAGAACCGCGGGTCGGAGGGCGAAGACGGGGATGGCGGGAGCGCGAGGGAGGCGGGGCGATGATCGACGGCCTGCGGAAGCGTGTAGAGAAGCGCGGGGAAGGTCGCGTTGTAGGAACTGACGTCGATTTGGAGGTTTTTGAGGTTGAGAATCACGTTCTGCACTTCGTCTCGGATCAAAACGCTCGCTGTGCCTTCGTCCAACCACACGTAGACCATTTCTTCGGGCGTTTCGTCGAGGAGACTGAGGCCGATTCCCGCGAGATACACGTCGACCGTCATTTGGATGTTCTGGAAGAGCGAGAAAACCGCGGGAGCGGCCGCAGCGGGGAGATCCGCGGGGAAAATGGAGAGAACGGGGGTGAGTCCCTTCAGCGATGATTGGATGAACACTAAAACAGAATTGGAACACCGAAGAAACTACCGTTCACATCGCGGATCTCCGTATTCCGCGTGCGAATCGCCAGCGAATTCGAGCCGCTCAGCGGCGGCGCGGTTTCCGCCTCGAAGCGGACTTTCTTCGCCCATTCCTCTGCGATTCCCGCGGAAGCGAAGAACAACTCGATGCGAGTGGAGGGCAGTTCCAAAATCACGCAGCAATTCGGAGCGATCGGATGCGTTCGGAACGCGTACAGCGGCTCCTGCTGCAGACCCATCGGCGTGGACACGCCCTGCGGGAGTTTGTATAACATGCCGATCACACTCAGGTCCTGGACCAGCTGCGTCACGTCCGCCTGAGGAAACGTCGCTCCGATCTGCTGCTGCAGCTGGTGCAGCGTGAAGGTGGATTGCAGCGCGCTTTTCAGCGCGGAGGCCTGCGACAGCACGCGATTTCGCAGCGAGGGCGACTGCTGGGACCGCGAGGGATGGTACAAAACCCGAACACCGCTGAGAGGAAGCGCCAGAGAGAGCGAGGAATGCCCACGACGCACCAGCTTCGTGAGATTCGGCGTGGTGAACAGGAACAGCGCGTGGTCGCCCAGCCGAGCGCGCCGCGCCTTCCATTTCCCGCGGGACCGGACGTACACGTCGGCCTCGAGTTGAAACTCCTCTTTGGCGGGAACCGCGGTTGGGATTCGCATTTTGGCGGCCTCGCCGAGCCGAACATCCGCGGAGACAATGCCGCGAACGCCCTTCATATCGATCTGAATCGCGGGATTTCCGCAGGGTTCCTCGCGGATCCAAGCGAGCTGCGAAAACGCGGGGATCACGTGATGCGTGGCGGAGCCGATCTGGCTGATAACCGTGGGAAACGGGCAATAATTGGAGATGAGGATGGGGGAAACGTGGGTTGTGGAGGTGATGGTGAGGACATTGTAGAACTCCGTGCGCAACGACACGATCTCGAATGCCAGAATTTGGCGGGTTTTTGTGTGGACCGACTTCACGAGGAGTTTCTTTTCTGTGGAGAAGGGAAACTCCCCCGAAAACTCCCAGTCGGCGCGGTCGCGTTTGATGCGAAGCGAGTCGATCGACGATTCGTCCTGGAGGCACAAAACGGAGAGTTTCTTCGCTGGAATTCGATAGAACGTGGGGGTTTTGAGAAGCAGATCGAACTCGGAGTTGTTTTGAACCACGTGCTGCGGCGAAATCACGACGACGCGCGTGGAATCGAAGCGCTGAACCGAAATGGAGAGCGGGAAAACGACCGACTGCAGCGCGTTTTCCACCGCCACTACACTCAAGAAACGAATCCAAACGCACTAATCGCGGGGAGACGCACCTTCATTTCCTTCACGTCGTCGTCCTGCAAAAGATCTTCGATCGACGCGCTGCCCTCGATCACCGAGTCCTGCGCGGTGATCCGCAGCGAACTCAGCTGAGACTCCGCGAACAGACCGATGTCCCGCGGTTCTGCGGCGGTTTCGTTGGTGCTGCGGAGGAAACTCTGGTCCAAACGCTCCAAACTGACGGTGTCGTTGATGACGGCGCCTTGCAAGCCGTGCTCGCGATGCCGGAGCAAAAACCACGGGTTGTCCGCGAAGGTTTCCACGAATTCCCCCATCTCGATGCGGAGAACCTTCTCCGGCCGGAGGTTGAGGAAGTAATAGTGTTCCGGGGAGGGAGTTTCGTTGGGGAAGAGGGTGTGCATGACGGTGACGAAGAGCGTTTCGAAGGTGAAGTCGGAAGAAGCTTGAATGCAAATGTTCTCCTTCTGATTGGTGGGCAGACTGACCCAGCAATTGAAGTGGTACGGAGTGGAATGCATCGACGAGCGAAGGAGATTGGAGGAGGCGAGAACGTTCATCTGTCGCTCGAGGGAGGAGAGGAGGGATTGGAAGTGCGGCGTGTATTCTTTGAAGGATTTGGAAATCGAGCGGGACGATCGCGCAGAAAGAAGCGAAGGCGTAGAGGGAGGAGAAGAAGGAGAAGAAGGAGAAGGGAAGAAGGGATGAATGGAAGGAGAAGAAGAAGAAGAAGAAGAAGAAGAAGAAGAAGAAGAAGTGGGGTCAAGATTAGAAGAAGGGGCCGAAGGGGCCGAAGGGAAGTGGATTGGGGCAAAGGGGACAAAGGATTGGTCGTCGGGCGGATGATACGGTGCCAGACGCAATGAAACTCCCGACTGGAGATACTAGACGTGGAACACAGACACACAATCACAACATAGAGCGAGAAGGGCGTTTTGTTGATGATTTGGAAGGGAGCTTGGACGGTGATGGACAGGTTCGAAATCAGAACCTCGAGCGAAACCAACTCGATCGATCCCTCGCGTTTTTTCAGCTGCACGCGCTGCGTTCCCTCCTGGTTCGACGTGATCTCGATCCCCTGCGAGTATTCGAAGCCCCATAGCGAGACCTGCAGGAAATACACGTCCATTTCGCTGCTGCAGGAGTGCAGCTGCGCGGTGCGCATCGCCGGCACCACGCCGCACGCCACAATCGCAGCGGAGAGATCGTGCAGCGTG